GTACAGGATGGGAGCAATCAGCACTGTACTACCAGGTCGACAGACACGAGACAGAGCGTGGTACTACGCACTCCGCATGATCGCACATTATGTGGATCTCACCAGCATGGTGAGAGTGCACGTGCTTTCAGTGAAGGCCTGGCAGGGATGGGTCAAGGGTCACCACTACGACCTATTCTATGACTTGGCAAATTTGGTGACGTGGGATCAACGACAAAGGATAAGGGCCCTCAGTGTGACCCAGAAGCAGATCGCCACAATGCCAGTCACCGGCCTTTCACTGAGAAACAGATACAAAGATGCAAACAGGGCGGCCATGGAATTCGCGCTCTCCAAGCAGCCTCACGATCTTGAACAAGAATTACAAGAACAAGATCAGCGCTACAAGCAGTTTGCACCAATGGCAGCTGAGAGAATTCGCTATCTCCTGGAAACGCCTGACCATTTCCTTCATGGGGAGAAAACCAAGGGCAAGGAACTGCGACAGAAAACCAGAGATGACAAGAAAGCGCTCTACCTGGAGATTGGAGTCACAGGCCAGGAAGGTGGCCACCAATGGATGGCAAAGGGGCGTGGACTCCAATGCAGGCATTGCAAAAAGCAGATCCACCAAAGAATGACCATGCAGGCGCTCAAAGAAGCGAAAGCAGAAAAATGTGAAGTGGCAGTTGGGGTGCCCATCACGGGTGGGGACTCTAACATGGAGACCAAGCAGGAGTTCATCAACCGCATCTTGAAGGAAACCGACGGTGAGGGCCACCTGCTCCAGCAACAAGCCAACTACATCGTGTGCCAAAAGTGTGGGCTCCGCATCCTGCGCAATGCAGCACGTGAAAAGATAGAGCAACTTCATCAAAGTCCATGTTGGTATGGACCATGGACACCAGATCAGCACTGGACTGGCAGTCCAAGCCATACCCTGTGGCGTAGAGGCCAGAAGATTTACTGCCAAAGCTGCAAGGGCCATGCCATCATACGGGAGAACACATGGCAAGCCAGTCGACAGCTCCGGCAACCATGCGCAGCGGGTGCACGAGCCACACAGTTGCCACTGTGTTTTCGGGCGAAAGAGCCCAGAGAAGGAGCATAAGAACTTGAAAAAGGTCCGACAAAAAAAAATATAGAGAGCAGCTCCTGCTTGACACTTTCATAGAAAAAGGCTAGCAGGGAGATACTGGTACATAGAAGAATGATCCGAACACCAACTTGTATTGAGACAGGTTGAAACTCATTTCTATTTGAGGATGGCGATATTTCAATGTGGTCAAGCCATGTCAAACCCCAAGGCACTTCGGGAGGCCACAAAGCAAGCCAACGATGTTCTGAGCGAAAAGACCTTGGTTGTCGAGGATGCACCTCCGGTTTCCATGACAGGAACTACAATTGAGCTTGAACTTACGGTCTATGTTGGTCTTCATTTGATTCTTGATAGTTGCATTTGATGAACATGTTTCAAGGAATAAAGCTACTTTACCCAAAGACTAGAAGCATAAGACTCATACGACCAGTAGACGAGGAGTGAGTGAATCTCATGCTCCCTGGCTTCAGCTCTAGTTCAAAGGTTTGAAGGCCTCTCATGTGGCCATGCTTCGTCCCCACGCAACCCCCAATTGCTTTGGGGTTCTGACGGTAGCCCCGTGCGCCCGCCGAGGCCCAACGAGCACGTGCGGCGCCACTCACGTGATGTCCCGAGATAGCAGGTGTCCGGACCGCGGCAACGTGCCTGCCGGGGGGTCGGACGAACGACCCGATGTTTTAAAGCGAAAGCTGACGTCATGGGAGTGTTTTCCGGGTTCCGAGGAGCAGCGATAATGATGTATAGACATCAGAACACTTTCGGCTTGGCTTTGGACCCGGAGATCTTCCTGGCAGACGGTCGGAACGAAAAGAGGAGATCCAAAGCAGATAATCCGCATCTCTTAAAGACTTGACCTGTGACTGAAGGATGATTCACGAGTGAACACTACTTGTGGACATGAGATACCACCTTCCCTTGGAAGAGTTAAAGGTCGAGCGAAAGTTGAGCAAATGGCGTGCAGTTGATCCTTGCCGAAGGCAAGGGAAAGAGAAAAGCAATCCAAAGGCATTGGTTTGGTTTTGCGAAGCTCACGTTGTTTTTGGGATCCAGGTACTTGTGTGAAGCAAGCCAACTGGGAGTGCAGCAGAAACCATGTGTTTTTGCCTCCTGGATCCTGGGAGAACGTCTTACGTGGGGTGCCAGTAAAATATTGCAGCGCGAGGCAGTCCCGTTTTTGCATTGAGCATGCTGTTAGGGAGATCTCGAAAAAAGCAGACCTTGTGACCCTCATGAGGATAAATAAAACCCAACTAGATTCCACTCCCGCACACATCATACTTGGTTGGCTACACTATATATATATAGATATCTGGGACAACGATCTGAGGTTTCATGATTTCATCTTTCTTCATCTATATTATCATCTATTCATCTATATACATATACCTAGACATCCTGTGGCTCTCCCCCTCATTTAGGAACACGGACGCATCGACTAAGAGGGCCTCGCATCGACTAAGCGGCGTGGCTGACCGCGTGATGTCTGGTGTCTGGAGCACCTGGTGTTTCTGTATGAAGTTTGTGAAACACTTCGGACAGTTTTCACATTGTGAACACACAGACATACAAGAAACGTCCTCCGGCGCCGTGCTTTCGGGAAAACATAAATACAACACTCGAGTCTGCTAGATATGTTTCATCTCGCGCTCGGTGAACTGAGGAGACGGCATTTTGCCAGAGCTCTTTTCGCCGATCCGATCAACCGTCCGACACCTGGCTTCCCGGTGGTAGGTTCATGAGAAGGGGTCCTCCAACCCGAACTCCCAACTGACACTTTGGACATGTTTGGGGTGAATTTTGTGAACGTTTCATGATGGGTTCGCCCCATCCAGTCACCCCTTGCAGGTGGCGGGCTTTTCGCACTTCTCACCCCTTGCAGGTGAGATTCTTATGTGCTAAACATCCATCTCTGTTCACGGGTTCAGTCAGACTTCCAAAACCCTGTCAAAGTTGGGATCCGAACTTCGAGTTTTTTCCTCCGAACTTCGATGAATTTTGTGTGTGGAGAGAAATTTTCATTTCGATTAATGTACCACTCCTCTTTTTCGGGCCTGCCCCGCAAATTTCAAATGCCAAAAGGACGTGCGGAGAGGGCAGCACATGATTCCCTGATCTTCAGCACTCCAAAGGGCCAAAACCCCAGAATCCACCAGGCTTGGTCTCAGGTCGCCGTTCTTTTTGAAGAAATTCTGGTCATGACCAGCTGACAAGCTGTCATCTATTCAAATGCCGGAAATTACAATGCTGACAAAGAAATGACCATGCTGAATGCATAGGTGATGTTGAATGATTCCACGGAGTGACCTGAACACCATGCCGCACAAACAAGAGAGCGCTCTGAGGCTCCAGAGAGAAAGCTCTCTGTTCTGTTGGCTCCCACGAATGTGGGGATCACAACAATTGCTTCCACCGGAGAAGCTTAATGATGTTTTCCATTTTTGGCACCACAGGCAGGGACTCACACACACAACCAGATAGGACAGATGACAGAGCTTATAGGTGCTTAGATGAAATAGGTCTGGTATAAGACAACCGAGATTTGATGTCTAACTCTGATTCTTATGGTCGGAGACAATGAAGGAGTTTGTATGACTTCATATTTACATATCTAAACTCATTCCGAAGTAGATCGGAAGCAGATCATCCCCGAAGGTGTTTCGGGTCTCATATTTCACGTACTTCAGGACAACTTGAAGTGGGCAGGGTGTTTCTACCGACAAGTTGGCCCTCCCACTTCTTTCTCACTCTTGGAGAGAGAGAGAGAGAGAGAGCGAGAGCGAGAGAGCGAGAGAGAGAGAGAGAGAAGCAAAGGGTGATGCTTTTCAACGCATGGAAACGCACTATGGGTCGGGTCTATTTCCCATGTAGCTTTCTCACAGGTACTCTTGAAGCCATTGGGTATAGAGACAGCTGGCGCTGTGGCACTGTGGAATGGTTTTCATCCAACAGGTTTTGAGTGGAAACAGGATTCGTTCATTTGAGGTCGAAAGAGCGCCTAGTGCCATAAGCGTTCACAGAGTCGATGCTGGGGGTCTGCACCTTTGCTGTTGTCGAAGCAAGAACCGTGCCTTGAGATGGAGAGGAAGACAGATCGACTCCGTTTTTTTCAACGGACCTGTCACCAAGAGTTTAAAAGACAGAAAGATTGATTTGAAGAACCAGGTTACACCGCTCAAAGAAGCAACGGCCCCCTTTCGGTCTGACCAGCAACCAATAAAACACCAACGTAGACTATTTTTTCACCACTTCATGCAACTTTCATCTCAACCACTCAAGTCAGCCAGTCAAGTCAATCACCAAGCAGTCAACTCAGAAACACAAACACAAAGCACGTGTTTCATTTCCTTTTCTACTCTCCCGCTCACAAACATGGATGTGGAAAACCCCCTGGCCTTAGAGACCACCAGTCTTCCCGGGGGCCTAAGCCATCCACTTCCATGTTAGTTGTCAGAATGTACATGACCCATCATGACCCTATGTCCATCCCTTGACCTGGACCTCACTTCAGCTGCACATGGACAGTCTCTGTCGGGGTGGCGTGCCCACCTGTGGTCACCGTTTCATCCGCGTTCGGGGTCGGGTGAACTCGTGCCCCGCCGGTTGCGGCCAAAAGGGAGGTCCCACGTGACTGAACAGTCCCGTGTTCGGGGTGGCAGGGAATGGTGATGTCCAAGGCTTGCTTGTGATATAGGCCAGATTGTTGACCTGAAAACTCCTTTTTGATGTTGTTGGAGGTTCCAACTGGAATCGGACAGTCAACATGGAGACAGGGATGACTTGGTACTCCATCACAGTGCCTGCTAAGTAGATGCAGGCTAAGCCCTACAAGGGTGCTCATTGCCATTGATTTGGTCAAAGGGGATTTGGTCAAACTCGATACGACACCAAGGGCCGAAAAAACAACATGAGTTCTCATCTCCAGGTGGGTGACGGCAAGGAGGACGCAGAAGAGAAGGAGACAGGCCCAAAGCTCAGGAATGGATCACCTTCCACATCAAATCCTTCTTTGATCCATGCTTGCCCAGCACCAAACCGATGCTTTGTGCCCCAAACCCTTGCTGGCATTCGTGTCGCCTGCGCTTCTGCAAGGTGGTAAGCTCCCGAAGCTGGACCTGTACAGGGCGCCGGATGCGCAGGAGGTCCGCCGACGGAGCCGGTCGACACGATCTCCGCGCGCGCGCGGCTTGACGCGCGCGCGTGGAGATCGGGATAGGGTTTAAGGAGCGGTCAACAGAGGTTTTAAGGAATGCGAGGGAATGCGGAGAAATAGTTTTTGCAGATGCTGCCAAGGGACTCAGATATCTCTTAGGAACTGGATTTGCCGTGGTGCTGAAAACGGTGATGAGTTAGCTGTCCAAGCATGACCCAAGTGGAGCAAATCACGCAAAGTCACTTGGATCTGTAATTGGTCTGTGTGTGTGGAGCAAAAAAAGGCCTCCGGAGACTGGGCTATAGATGTTTACTGTTTACTCCAATGGTTGCAGCAGGACATTGATTGGCTGGCCGGTCAGACCCTCTGGTTTTTTTCCGCTTCGACCATTTCACGAGGATTGGAACAGATCCTTCCAGGTCCAAAGGATTCTTCGTGTTCCAACCGGCAAATCACCTTTCACAACGGCAGCACGAGCGTGGTCAACTTCAGAGCAGTTTTGATGGCAGCAACGAAGTACTGTAACAGTTAACGTAAAAGCGCCCGGTGCGGAAGAACTACCTCTGCGCTCGGCTCCAGCAGTGCTGGCCGTGACAGGTGTTGGAAATTGCGCACACGCGGAACCTCTACAAATCCAACTTGTTTCGCCTTCAGCTGGAGGTGGAATCGTGTGTGGGGATCGTGGAAAGGGTGTTATGCAAGTCTTAAGTGATGGGGAGAGGAGCAAGAGAGGTCAAAAGCTATATATCGTGTATATATATATATATACAGTATATACACATATAACAAATCTAGCCTGTCCTTTTGAAACGATTTGCGTTCTTCCTCCTAATCCATCTAGATTGCTGGATGTCGATGCATGCCGACTTTACCAAGGGGTTGACTCATGGTGGTGGGAGATCGGCTGATTGAGAGTATGTCCAGCTCGAACCGATTGTTGGTGCTGTCATCTCCGAGACTGTGGATCCATGAAAAGCACATTCCTAATTGTGTTCGTGCTTCTTGCATGGACCAGCCACAAGCAAGGGAATTTCAACAGGTTTGCTTGTTGGGGGTTGGGTGCTACACGTCTAAATGGTACGGGACCAAGACCAAGTAGTCTTATATACTGTATGCTGATGTTCTTATCCTACGTCCATTTCATGAGCCACTTGATTCCTGCTGGGAACCCGGATACTCCCTGGTTTAGGTAGTGCTACAATCCACTATCCAATCTTGATGTTTCAGCCTGTAAAGACACTGTCGAACCCGCTATTTGACACTTCAACCATCAGAGGTGTCAGCCCACGAGGGTGGGTGGGTCCTCAACAAAGAACGCTTTCGAGACTTGACTCGGATGGGTGATTCCTGCTAGACAGTGTTGTACCACCTAGAAAATCTAGTCCATCCCGTTGTTCACTACCCACCGTGTCCCTCCGTTGTCGGCAGGAGCTTGTGAAGGAGTTGACGCCGAAGAAAGCACCTACTGCCTGTGAGGCAGCGTCGACACCGTGACAACGGTGAAGGTGGTCTCTTTTTTGGGTTCTTGCTTTCGTACTTGTGTGGCAGCCAGTCCACAGCTTAAGCACGGCTGACGCAAGACTGGTACGACTGCCGGTTGAGTGACTGGATAAACCATGGTGGCCTGCTGGGCTGAATGGAGAGGAGTGTGGGCCGGATAAGAATACATAGCCGGGTGGATGTAGTGGAAAAGGTGATTGTGGCATGTGATAAAGTGGTGGAGCTGTGGGAGGCACGTAGTGTGGCATCGTCATAGGGACAGCAAGGAAACTGCACGGCGAAGTGCAGCCAGGTGTTGGCTGAAGGCACCGGTGGAACAGGAAGATAGAATTGTGGGTGAAACATACAAAAGATTACGTTAGCAGCATGTCATGACCTTCTGAAGGGTATACAGTGGGCCCTGCGGCATAATGTCAGCGAGCTTGAGCAAACGGCTGAGCCAGTAAAAGTCGAGCAGAAGCGGAAGTTTAGAGGAAAGTCTCCCTTAAGGGTCTATGCTCAAAGCGCCCCGAAAGGAACACACAACAAACCGCGGTGGGACCCTGTTGCGAAACACACTTGGATCCATGCTCGCAAGAGCTGAAGCAGCTTTGAACTCCAGTGCGTTAAACCTTCAAGTGAATACTTAGCGCTTGACTTGACTCAACGGCAAGAATACTGGGTCAGAGAACAGAATTGTTTGAACATCCCGCGTTAGCACTTTAGATGAAAAGGAGGGTAAACAGCTTGATAATGCCACAAACAAGTGCAGGTACGTCGACAGGACGTCTCCCGCAGATATCGCAAGCGCAAGATGATAGGTGTCTTCGTTGGCACCTGCCCTATCTCTGCTTCAGGTGCCCCCTGCAAATCTGTACATTAGTGATGACATGAGGATGGATGGGGTATCAATCAACTATTGTGGTCGCGCTCCTTAGTTGACGCACGCACACACTATTTTATTTGATCTCGTTATCCGAAGGGCGCGCTGCAGGATTAAGGGAGCAGATCTGGCACCAGATGCTATTTCCGAAGTATTGCTTCTGGCTTGGGATTGGTTTGTGACATCATCTTTGTATCACCTTTGAGCAAATCACGGTTGTAGCAATTCTTAGAATTAGTGCCACGCGGTAAAGCGTTGTATCTTTAGGCAAATTGACAAAGAACTGCACAGAAACTACCGTCACATAAGAACTAGTCGAGTGATGGTTGTTTGTGGCTCTTCCAGTTTGAACGCTCAGCTTTCCATTCTGTCGTGTTTTATTTTGTTGTCATTTCTGTTTTATTGATGCGTTCGGTCTGTGCATCTTTCTTCAGAGTAGTTTCTGCGCACTTTAGCGAAGATGTTGACATATTGATACTTGCGTTTTCCTTTCACTTCTGGATGTTTTCTTGTTTTGCTCCTGCCTGGCTAGGCGGACCGACGCTTGCATTTACTTTTCGCATTGTTCTTGTCACGCATTAATCGATTTCATTTTGATTGATAATGGGCGGTGTCGTTGTATTCGGCCTGTGCTGGTATTGATGTCCTTGTCCATTGGGACTTTTTCAAACGATGTCTTTGTGGATCATGTTTCAATGGTCACTATCCGAGGGATGCCTGCCGTGTATTCTAGCTGGACATTAACAGCTTCTTCACCATGACTACAATACCAACAACCACGGACATTGACATCTTGACAAGTTGATTCATTACCTTGACGACGGGCTTTACTTCTTTGTTTCTTGTTCCCCAAACAGTTTACTGTTGGACTTCTCTCTTAAGGAAGAATTGCACACTGGCCACACGGTCTCTGGCCGTGCCCCTGAACCCGTCCAAGTGGCATGTGAAAAGAAGAGTTCAAAACCAATTAAATCAAGAGTTACACCTTGGAAGACAATCCCATAGACCCTGAAAACCACGTCGGTTGGGGACGAGGAAAACCATCTTCCAGGGTGGCAGGACGTCAGGGTCTATGTTAGTTTTCGGGAGTGTACTACTTTTGCAACCGAGAACCACCACACGAAATCCTGTTTTTGTCTTCCTGTCCTGGCCGTGCTCCCAGTGCTCTGGCCGCGCGTACGCGGTGTCCTTCTGTCCTTCTGTTGTGCTCCTGGTGTCCTCTTGCCTTGCGTCCTCATTTTGTCCTCCTGCAGTCCTGGCCGCGTTGGCGAACCCTGTATCCTGTTATCCTCCTGGTGTCCTCCTGTGTCCTTCTGAAAAAAAACACTTATACAACTTTTATAACCCTGTGGCCGGGTGTTGTCCGTCCTCCTGTTGATCCTCAAAATGGAATAAACCAATGCCGAGCATGACTTTGTTTGCAGTGGCCTTAGACTATTGCAAAAACAAATTAAATATGAAGTCAATCACGCGCAAATGAGATACATTTACAAACAGATTGTTCGACAAGGCATGTGAAGGAATGGTGAAAAAATCATGGCAAGGGTGGAGGACCACATGTCATACCGTATTTATCATACCCCACTTGCGGCGTTGGGATTTGTCATTGAGAAAAGATGCGTTGATAGAGTCAGAGCGGTAATCTTTCAACACTGACATCCACCAAAACAACAACCCATGAAATTTGTGGTGTAGTTTGGGCCATATTGATGGAGCATTGGATGGGTCCAATTTTGAGTTCTCCTCCTTGGTTGCTCTCTGAGAGGGGAACCCGAAACACAGAGGTTCACGATCTGGTGAATTTTTCGGGTCCCGTTTCACGCTCCACGTCGTGCACAGACCGCCTTGCATAGCTTGAAACCATTGTTGCTGGGGAAGATCAAAGCTCGCGAGATTCAGGTGTGGTGCCCTGGTGTGACGAACCGTCGTGTGGCGGGTTGGGTGGCAGATACAGGATGCCTGACCCCAGCATGAGGGAATCCGCTCACCAGACGTTCAGTCAGGATCAGCCAAGCTTTGTCACATTAGGAAAGCGGGACCTGGGTCGCTGAGGATAAGCGTAGTTCCTGAGAGCAAGTCGGACATTTAGAGCAATATTATAGTTTATAGATGATATACGGTACATACAGTCAGAACTAGATTTTAGTCTCTTTCACAACGTATTGGCAAATAAGTTCAATCATCAAGGTATCCTAGGGGACCATATGAGAAAGACTTCAAACATTGATATTATATATATTATAACCATTGTTGCTGGTGAATTAGAGACATTGTCGTGGATGGAGGAATTTGCAACTGTTCTATCAAGAGTATCATTAAAGCTGCATGGATGCAAACCTGCCTGATGCTGCATGCAACGGCACAGATCAAAGTTTCAAAACAGTGATATCCTGATCAGCTGAATTCCTCTTCCCGACTGATTGTAATTCGGTGATGACGATGAGAATTCCAGCACGTCAATTCCATGGGAGAAGTAGCAGGAGTAGGATAAGGCGTCAACCAGCTTTTGCCTCCTAACTCAGTTGAAATACTATTCTTTTCAAACACTGATTGCCAGTCCCGGATGGTAACAACCGGGCAGGATGAAAGTAGCTGAAGAGCAAGACCGGAGCTGGTTGAATGCTTGGGAGCTTGTTGGTGTTTCAAAAGCAAGACCGGAGCTGGAGTTTTGGGGTCGACATTTAGCAGCCATAGCCAGACAAACCGTTTGTTGGAACAAGAGCATTATCAGCGGAGAGTTGAGAGGCTGTGAACACCAATCTAAGCCATTTCTGTTTGACCCGAGATCTTGGCACGGAACATGATGGTGCCCTTGAAGGGACTATTTGACAAAGACAAGCGAACTTGACATGACAGTGTTTGGTTGGATTGACATATGCGAAGCCTCCTGGGTCAAGCCCTTCCGAGTAGGATCCCAGATCTTCCAGTGGTGGAGTACATTCATGCAGGCCGACCTCGCCGCCGAGTTTCCGCATCTCCTCTTCCAACAGCGGAGCAAAGGCACGACATCGTGAACCGGCCCCTGATTTTGTCACTTTTCAATTTCACTTGGGGAATGAGGTGGGTGGGTGGGTGGGTGGGTGGGTGAGGGTGAACTCCTCCACAATGGTAACGTGGTCATCTGCATATCGACCTGGATCGGACTCACAAATAGACAATGCAGAAGAGCAAACTATTTTGAACGATCTGCGGCTTTTCTAGTTTGGACATTGCTGTGGGCCCGGATCGTTTCCTCTGGACTTTGCAAGCTTAGAGCGTTTTCATGAACAGTTAAATTTGGTAAGCAAACATGACATTGTGAGAACGTTTGACATCCTGAAGCAGCTTCGAAGAAAGTGCATGACTGAGTTGAACCCAGCCTCAAATGAGTGGATACACATGGAACACCTTAGGCCATGACGCTGGCTGAACAAGACTTGTCAGAACTTTCTCCTCAGGACCCCAACACACTGTCCCAGGACGTGGTGAAGTAATGATGCGCTGCTCTGACTCGATGCATCAACCTATGCAAAACACGCTGTTTTCCAGTGCAACTGAACCAAACAAAGGTCCACGCTCGCTGTACCTCAAAAACACTAACGAGCAAACAACAACTATGCAAACATACAGTGGACCTGACACTACTGGCTCCTTCGAAGCAGGGAAGTGCAGTCGGTGCTGTTGTTTCAAGATGCCAAGAGATGTGCAGATTCACGACCAGACTCCAATGTGGATGGCTGACCGGGGTAGGATGTATGCTGCAGCCACCCTTTGGTCCCTGCAGCATCCTCTAAGAGGTGCAACCAAGTACGGTTTTCCGGGCAGTCTATCTACCAACGGGAGTTGAGGCAATGAGGCACTGCTCATGTACTTGAGGCACTGCTCCATGCTGCCAGGCGAGCAGCCGATGAGCTTCCGTCCACCTAAGCGCTTGGATGTGGTTGGCAGCTTTTTGCCCCTGGAAGTGATGAGCTCGTTGCGCCGATGTGCGTGGGAGGTGTGGGACGGCTCATAAGGGGATCTGGGATGAGCCACAGTTGGTGGGCTGAAGTGTGTGGATGTATTGGAACAGGGAGGCCCCCGAACCAAAGGGGTTTGCGATAATTCTTCTAACCGACGTAAACCGATTCTAATACACACCTATGCATACATATATGCATATGCATATACCGTACCTAGTTTCCTTTTTGTAGTGGACATCGTTGTTTGGTCTCAAACAGCCGTAGATTGAAAAGACCGTCCCGCAGATCTGCGTCCTTCTGGATCCCGCATGGGACTATCACGAAGACCATTTGTCCTGGAAGAGAAGCTTGAGGGGTGGTATCAAGATGTTTCAATTGCCGTTGTTGATGATGCTTCGGGCCGCAAGGCTGCGGCTTAGACAGGCATTAGGGAGGTCACTCAGTCAAGAAGTACATACTGCAAGAAGATCCAATGCCTGTAGTGGGGCTTGTTATCTACGAGAACATGTTCAGCTCGTTGAATGCCCAGCAGCTTGCAGTCCCAAGTCAATCAACCACCCCTGGTCTCTTAGGCTTGGGACTTCTACCAGAGAGTGCTTCACCGTGGATGTCGCCGTGGAGATGCCCTCGGAGATCTTCAGATCAAAGGCCCCGCCGCGATGACGCGGCCGCGGCCGGGTCTGGGTGGTCAGCATGGTGAGCGGTTCTAGGTGCGGTTTGGGCACCATGCAAAGCGGACATTTGCAGGGTTTGAGTGGTCTGAACTCATGGTGCGCATGGTGCTGAGAGGAACGGGTTTTTGTCGAAACGATGTGTTGCGGGGTGGCCAGAGGCAGCGGAAGGTGCAGCGACATCCATGGCGCAAGCTCATTCTTCCGTGTTCTGTTTCACTTAGGAGACGACCCGGAGGCCCAATGTCCGGGGGTCTTTGTGAGGACTATCTGAACTTCCGTTACCACGACAAGCGCGCGGCTTACGTGGGGGAACTACACCGGCAGCTGAGCCTCTTGATGGAAGGCCATCCAGTTGGGTTGCACGGCGTGTCCTGCGCGTGTCGTGTGGCGGCCGAGTTCGGATACACTAGGGTCTTGGAATGACCAAAACGTGCGGTCACTTGTGTTGAGAGATTCTCAGAGCAACAGTGCCAGAGTGATGTTGTACGTAATTAGCCCTAGATTGCCCTAGAGCCTGGAAAGATTTATTCACATGTTCATGTGATTGACTAGAAGAGTCGAGGCTGCAGATTTGCGGCCCTGATGCGGTGGCCCTCGAGAGAACCCTTTGGGAGCTGTGTTGCCCGGTGCATGCGACATAGTTTGGCTTGAAGACAGGTGTATCCAATGAATATTCACTCACACACAAAAGCAAACAAACGCACCTGAAAAAGAAACCATTTGCTATGATATATGATATATACGGCCTTTGTAGCAAAAAACATGACAGGTTTTTCCCATTCTCCACATGGCAGTGGCCCGAAAGTCCACATCAACTAGCAGGGATGTTCATGGAACATGACACGAACATGAAGGACATTGAAGGAACCACAAGAATCACAAGATGGACAATTTTTTTTTTTTTTTTTCCGACTGTTCCCATCTTCACTTTCGTTCCAATCACCCAGTGAATGCTGGATCAGGGCCATCCAGATCATCCCTTTTGCGACTCCCGGTTTCACCGGAAGGTCCCGTTTGCCACGCTGGACCCGGTGTCCACGGTTCGACGCAGGGAGCGACGCTTTGGCTCATCTACGGTGCGAGATTGAGGCAGGGTTTATGAACTGTATCATATTCTGTGACATATAAACAGTTCATTATCACTGTTGTATATACAATATATTTTATGAACTGTATAATACAAGATATAATACAACATTATATATATATAACATAATATACTATGCACAGAGGTGTTCCTGGGCAGCCTGAAAGTACAGCTGTCAAGCTCTACTTTGCTGGCTGGGATGAGACAGATTATAGACATTATAGAGACTAGAAGTCCATCTGATCACAGGTGCTAGTGGCCAACTTCGATCTGGTGATTAATTGCATCTGCATCTACTTCTACTGTCCCAACAAGTCCCAGTTTTTTTCGCTTCGGAACCTGAATGAGAGTGCACCAATTGGGTTCAGGAACTCGGTGGTGGGTCACTTGTAGTGGCGACCCCTAACTGGAACTAAACCAGTGGAGCGCAAAAAAAAACAAATTGTTGGCTCTAGGGGCGACAGCACCCAGCTTTGCAGTGAAGCACCACCAAACACTCACACAGTTTCGCCTCCCAACATTGCACTCTTACCACATTCGGAGAAGTTCTGTAATTTTGCCACAGAAGGATCTTCCCCTTGGATTTTGTTTTTTTTGCGCATAGCAAATTCTATCAAATTCTTCTGCCGAAGCAGCTTGGTGCCCTGAGATTTCCCCAACCAATCTGCCGCCTTTTCTTGTGGCCACAGGCAGCCCCAACCCTACCGAGCGTGTCTCTCGATAGCCACCTCTCCATCTCTCCGCCTCTCCGCCTCTCTGGGCCACCGTTGTGTCGAGACAGCTGCGCCTCAGGCCTTCCAGGGCGATCCATCTCGTCCAGCGCTCCTCTTCAGATCCGACCTCGCCAGGCGATGTCGGGGAAGGACCCTGGTCCGGAGAGGGGAGGGAGGTGGGAGGGAACCTTTCTATTGGATCAATCCAAGAACGGTGGAGATGGTTGGGTGGATGGAAGGTACGGTTGGTTGTTGAATTTCACGAACACGTGTGAAAGGATTGTCTGGTCCTGGTGAGAGGCTGGCGAGATGGTTGACACTGGTTTGGACAGCTCATCCAAGCACGAAAGGTGCCCTCCCGAGACATCTGCATAGGGTCCTGCACCCTATAGACCCTCCGTTTCATTTAGCCAAACATGCCATGCGGCGTCGCGTGTTCAACAACCTAGGCAAGTGCAAACTGGACATGGGGCATGTGGAAAAACAACACCCGGCCCAGTACTATCGCAGCCCAGTATTGTTGGTTTTGCAGAAAGCTTTGGTTCCAACCCAACCACCACCAAGAGTTCAAAGAGTCAAACAGTACTCGCGACCGGAGACTTTTCAGCACGGAGAGGTGGAGCATTCGATTGCTTCCGACCTACCTGCCGGACCTTTGGCCTGCTCGGATGCTGGCGGTCGAGGCTGAGCAGGTGTTAGCGTTGGACCGACGGCTGTGGTGTCAGATGTGATGAAAGACACCTGTGAAGCGATCTTTCCAAAGGCTTAGGGCCTGTCAGGAGTACTGTTTGAAGATGCCTCTCTCTTGCAAGGAAGATGACCTTAGCCATATCTGCTCATCAGCATCCTCCGGCGTTCTTGGGACTAGACCCGGAAAAGACCACGGTATCATGGTATAGGAGATGTGTCAAAATCCGCCACCCCAAACACCCTCACAGCAGGACGTTATTCACCACCCCCGCCAGGTGCTTTTGGTTGAACGATGCTGAATTCCTTCATCCACCGTCCGAGGACCGGAACGCTGTCCGGCCGGCCACGGGCGGCGCTGACGGAGCATCAGCCACCCCGCATTACAACAGCTGTGCGCCTTGGCAGTATTTTCCCGAATGCGTAGCGAAGGGCGCTTGTCTTAAATCTGGAGGCCTGGATGTTGACACCGTGTTCGCGACCTTGGTCGTTTTGTCGTCGTTTTCGCGGCCGTTTCGAGCCCAAGTCGCGGCCACTTTGTGTCGATAATTCCCTGCCACTGGGGAACATGTTTGGAAACGCTCGTTTTGCAGGTCTCGCGTATTCCATTGCATTCTTGTTCATGGATTCCATCATTTTTTTGGGGGAGTCAAGACAGGTCCATACATTGAAGGTCCAAGTTCGTAGATGTTGTCATTTGCAGATGTCTGTTTGGGAGGGAAGGAGGGAATCCATCAACGAGGAGTTTGAATTCAAGGTGCAAGAAGATATCAACAACGGTCAACGGTCAACCGATGTGAAAGGTCCCAACTCCAAACTTCTAAAGCTTGGTAGAGTGGGATCCTGCCCCTTGGCTTTTCGGTTCTCCATTTTGACTGATTGCTTCTTTTTCGAAGGTGTGTCACGGAAGTCTGCGGTTTGATGGCGCACTGCAGCAATTCTAGTCATTAATTATCATAAACATCAAGACATCTCTCAGCCCTTGAGAACCTCTGCGTGGTCTGAAGCTACCAGACTGAAATCTAGCATTCTTTTCCCAATGCTGCGTGAGGAGAGCCCGCCTGCCTACCAACCTTCTCAACAAAAATAGACAACATATTAGTCTATAAGTCTATATTCTATATCAGAGCCACTTCGATTCCACAGTTTCACCCTAAATGTCTCCAACAACACCTTGGCACCCTGAGAGATACTCACAGGCTTCAGCCACCATGTTCTCGCACGAATAGAGCATGCCCCAGTAGCCCCACACGAGTGTAGAGGAAAACGTCTTCCGGAGGTTTATTTCAGCTTCTATGTTTGTCAGGAGTGTAGGGGGTGAGAGTTTTGTTGAATCTCATGTCGATTGTTCTTAGGTGCTGCAAGATGCCCGCATGCGTGGCTTAGCGGCCTTGCCTTGGACGGTCTTGTGTTAAAATGTCTTAGGTGCTTTTGACTTAAACACCTGTAGAGAGCACCCGAAACCTTTGACTGTAATATTGCACCTCAGGATTCTTACCTTTGTAGCACGCTGAAGACCTTAGTTATACCTTTCTTTGGTGATGAATTCAGATTGCACCTCAGGATTCCAATGAACTACAGGTATCATTTTGGTAGGGGTTCAAGCATGTGCAGCCACCAAGTTCTTTTCACAGAGAGGGAGAGAGAGAGAGAGAGAGATATAGAGAGAGAGAGAGAGAGGGAGGGAAAGAGAGGAAGAGAGAGTGAGAGTCATGAAGAGGTGCAGCCCCCGCTTGTCAGACCAGTCCTACCTTTCCTGTGTCTAAGCATGAGGTTGGGCAGAAGAGGTTTCCAAGCTTCCTGGCAGTTTCCATACACCCCCCAAGCTCGTGTGGAACCAGAAAAGGACGACTTGGGCAACAAAAAGACACACATATGCTTCTTCGATGCGTTTGTCATTAGTTAAGATTCAACCGATTCAGCCATCCAATCCAACTGGAATCGCAGAAGTCCTTTCATTGCCGAGAAACGCTTCTGAAGCCATCAGGGGGCCACTTTTCGACCATCATTTCTGGAGCCCTCGCCAGGTGGATTTGGACAAACATCAAAGACCTCAGTCAACCCATCTGGATTGGTTGAGGAGTTCGCTTGAAAATGCTTCAGTGAAGAGGGAGTCTTCCCCACCAATGTTGGAGCTGCCATGTGTGCCCACTCAGGGGAACACCTGGAAACGCTGCATGGCGTTGCTGAGCGCTTCTCCTTTCTCCGTGATGCCATTCGATTGCTGTGCCTGGGCGAACCATTTTTTTTGGGAGTAGTGATTCGGCGGAATGGTCTCAAGGCAGCCAGCTGCGTCAGATCTTCCGTTGTCGCATGGGTGTCCACTTTGGACCAGGATTTTGATGCTCTTAGTGTTTGATAGCCACTCAGACACTCTCTCTCTCTCTCGAGTCCTTTGACTCTTTGGCTTGGCTTATCTCAATCTTTTTCAGGATCTTCTCGAGATTTTCTGCCACCAGGTGCCTCAAGTCCCCAAGCAATTTCATGAAACTTGTCTTTTCCCAGTTTCCCCGACTTGACACACATGCCCAGTGCTCCCAATTTTGTGGATCTCAGATTCGATTTCGGGCTGAGGACTGGGTTTCCCAACCATTCAAGTTTCTTGGGCTTGGGTTTCGACTCCAAACCTGCCAGATGAAGTCTCGAGTCTCTTCGCCACAATTCGATCTTCCCTGAGGAAGCGCTGGGCTCTAGCTTGCGGCTTTCTTTCCTCGGACAGTGCGACCTTCACACCCCTCAACGGCACCTGAGCACGAAGTGCCCCAAATGCTGGTGGACACTCTTGGACACTTTCCACCAGTTCCACACCTGAGGACCAGTTCTGCCCAGCTTGGAACTACTTCATGGGAAGGAATCCTAGAGCTGAGATAGAGAAGAAGCCACGGTACAATCACTGTTTGTTAGTTTTCCAAGTTCCAGGTGGTACAGGATGTCTTCCCGGAACACGAAGGATCAGACCGGAAGATGCTTTTTCAATCCGGGCGCCAGGAGACAGCTTGACACCCAGACCTTGCAGGTAACAACCAGTGGGTCATGTCATGATATCAACAATCCAACGCTGGTGAGTCTATCCAGTCTATCCAAGAGGTGAAGAAGAAGAACACAGTCTCAGTGGATGTTGACAAAACATGTGCCCAGTTTGAGAAAGGCATCGGGTGTTTTTCAAAAGCAGGAAAAAACCAGTCGACCGAGTGTTGAAAGATGATGAAACCGAGATGCGAACGGTCTTTTTGACCATTTGATGCAATGCGTGATCTTTCCATTGCAAACTTCTGCCAGTTTTTGGAGCATCGTTTTGACTAAGTATACCAATTTGGGCAGGGGTTTCACATGTGCATGACCGATGCTCATCTTGTGGCTTGTGGGGTTGCAAGGTCTGCTTGGGGTTCTCCACCGGAGTCATCACCCCCCAAACAGCTGGGAACACGACTCACATCAGGCTTCATGCTGTCGATGCTGTGCGCGCATGCGGCGATCACGGCGGGCGTGGCACCCGCGCAGACGACGGCGTTTCAACTTCTTAAGCCGCTGGAAAGAGCGCAGTGGGATGTGGGATGTGGGACGGGGGTGGGAGGTGGGGCATGCGGGCCTGTGATGTGGTGACGCCTGCCTGAATTGGAGAGTTGTCAACTTCATCGTGGAGTGCTTGGAATGAAGAATGTCAAGACCTAAGAATTGCCTTTTATGAGGGCTCCAAGAGAAAAAGGTCATTGAGTTGTTTTGACACAACAAGTGACAGGTGGTTTCTCCTGTTGCTACCAACTGGGTGGTTTCTTGATGCTTGTTGTATCACAGTGCCACACAGGTGTTCTTTTTCACTGTAAAACAAGCTTTGTAGGGAGGAGCCTTGTCGCCAAGTTATGAAGCAACCCAAAGCTACTTTAATGTGGCTCCATGGCTTATGTCACCTATGTCCGTACAGAGCCTAAGCTAGGAGGGACATGCAGTTTCTCACCAAAGCTAGTTGCTTACTTACCACAAAATCCCCAGGAAGTCGTCATTGTTCGCATGTCTTCGGCTCATCTGTTGTGAGCACTTGCTTTTGAGGCTGGCTCTCAGTGTGCTTTCGACCACACAGTGGGAGAGCCAGAAGGTGCGGTGTCGGATGTGCCCGAGGTGCCCGTGTCGGAGTGGACAATGACTCCGAGGCCAACCGACCCCTATAGGTGGACCAATTCATCGTTCGAGTTGTGTTCATGTTTGGTCCGAGCGACGAAGGTTTGTGGTGCTGTTTGGATTTTGTCAAAGCCAGGCCATCCACTTCCGCTCGTCGGAGAGTACCAACAACCCATGACCAGACCAGAAACCAGGTCGCCCCTTTTGGAGAAGCTACTCTTGGAGATTCGCAATTGAAATCCGTTGTTAGAGATGGTGGCAGAACTCCTGCGATGATGGGGTTGCTTTGTCCACATCAAACTCTTGGCTGAAGTGTGGCTAAAAAAGATAAGTTACCAGGTCTTGTGGTCTCGTGGACTGTTCTTGGGCCATCATGGGCGTTTTGATGGTTTCATGGACTGGTCAGAGTGGTGGTCCAAGCGGTCTCATGGTGGTGACGTCCAGATGTGGAAGTGAATTCATGCCAGTTATCGAGTGTGTTACCAGTGGAAACGACATGAGGTACTTCCATAGATCTGCAGGAAATCAAGGTTTTCAGTGCTAATGGTCCCCACTGCTCAGTGACGTTAGAGCACTTGAACCATGAGAGGCCATCCGATGGAAAAGAGGCTGTCCCCCCAAAAAGCCACACGAATTGGCCACCTCCCCCCAAAAAGAAACGTGGCTTCTCACTCATAGGCCCAGGCCATTTTTGTCTCCCTTCTTTGGCTCCCAACGGGGCTCACGTCGCCCTGACTTTGTCCGTTCGCCGGTCGGTTCACCGCTTCGATCCGGGTGCCAATCCGACATCTCGCCCGCTGGCGGTAGACGCAAGGTATCTCCCGCTTTTTTCGGGGAGGTCTCCCTATTTCAATACACACCCACTTGAAAGCCGCTTGGTTTAGCTCGACCTTTCATAGCTTTGGACATCACTGAGCCGCTCGACTGAAAAGACCACTGGTGCGATGAAAGCATCGCAGCAGTTCGTAGTGCTGCATGCCATGCTGCAGTGCCATGCTGCAGGTCATCTACGGCATCTCAGGCTCTGCACCGTTCTCGTCTGCAGAGTCTCCGGGCGCCGCGTACTTCTATGATGGCGACGCCTGGCGAAGACGACCTCGGCTAGGAGGTCGTTAGCCATCGGTGGACTGGATTGGGGACAGCGGTGTTGGTTTGGAGGTTGCGATCGATTTTCGATAGGCAGAGCTTCTTAGACAGGCCCTCTTAGTCTGACCAGCCGTAGATAGACAAGTGAATCATGCATCCCTGTATTTCTTTTCTCATTCTGAGAGGGGGCCCCTCTCTTGGCTCAGGTGTTCTCAGCTCAGATTCACGGGCAATTGAAAGGAGAGATGGCGAGACGATACTTCTCCACTGATGGCTCCAAGCCATCCATGTACATGTCAGTCCAAGACCCACTTGTCCTCCATGCCAGATTTGGTGAGATACCTTTTCCCCTCGAACCATTTTTCACTGACATCACATTCACTGACGCTTTCATCGTGTAAGGCCGGAGTGGTGAACTTCTTCTGCTACCTCGGCCCTGTCATCGATGAACTTCGTTATGAGGCGCAGAGGGCGCTCTCTGCGCTGGATCAGCAGGCGCCAGAGTCGTCCAGGGCCTGTTGAAGCGTCACCTGCCCATGTGGACGGTTGGGAGCAGCAAGGGAACCGCCTTGGTTTTGGGTGTACTTATACTTTTTCAAAGAGCTATTCATTCATGGGGGATCGCTTGGAACATGGAATTCACCGCTGGTTTTCTTTCATGTTCAAGATTGCTTTGGGTTTGCGCTTTCTTTTTGTGCAATGAAAGGCTGTAGGTACTGTAGGTGTTGCAGTCGTGCAGGACAGTTGGCCGTGCGCAATGTCAGATGTTTGGAGTGGTTTCGAGACGATGATCGCCCAAGCTGTGCCGGGATTGGAAAAGAACATGTGTGCCGCGTGCCCCAGAAAAAGAGACAACTGCACAGGCCCAAAAGCTCATGACAACTCCACCACCACGGGGATTTGGGCGAGCGAAAGTCGCCGGCTTTGGACGGGCGCTGCCCTGCCTCAGGTGGAACCCTTCGAGACGGTCTTTGCCCGACACGTCTCCCCAGAAGTGACCTGGGACCGCTGGGACCGCCGCTTTTGGGTCAAGAAACAAAAAAACATGGAAGATCAAACACTGTGGATCATAGAGTTTCTTCCTTGTGGGCGAGAGAGTGTCAAACGATGCAGAAGCTCTATGTTGGCTTGCCTGTGGTCGTTTTTGACAATGGGATACAATGGGTAAGTTTATCAAACTGGCGTGGGCACTACTTGTACAAACCCGCCTTACCGTTGAAGGAAGAAACTCCTGAGCTGCACATCCTAGGGGTAGGTGCAGATGTTCCTTGTGGCTGTTGGGTCAGCTTTGGTTGCACACCTTCAATGTGGCATCCGGTACAAGCACCCCCTTGACTCATGACTTAAAGCGCAACGATGGCATTCTACCAGATGGTTGCAATATATTACACCAACTTCCAAATGTAGATGGCTGCCCCAACTTAGAGCCTTTTTAGATGTTTTTCTCGTGCGATCATCCACTCTAAAGCACTCTAACCGACTCCTCACCATGTTTCGAATGTGAGAGGCGATTGAATTCCAAGGTCCAGTCTGTCTACCGCCGCCCGAAGGGCGCCGCGTGCAGCGCAGCGCCGCGCAGGACTTACTCGTGCGCACCGTGGAGTTGCCAGAGACTGCGATGTGTCCGTGTGGACAGCGCAGGACCGCGGCGGTCGGACCGGTGACGGGGAGGATGTGGTTGGGCCGAGGTAACGGGTGATGATCCTGAGAGACAGTGGACCGATTATAATATGAGGTGGTTGTACAATTCACATCAATTCACATGTTTTTTTTCTTCAAGATTCTACATATGGTTCATTTTGGTGCCTTTTCAGGAAGCACAATTCCGTTGTTTTCGGGAGATGGGTTAGAACTGGATTCCAAATGGCCTACATTCAGTTTTCAGCCTGTTCTTGGAGTTTGTCTCCTCCTATCCTTGAAGGCTAAACCTCTTGTCACATCCTGCCAGCTTTCTTTTGGATTCAACCCTTGTCTTTCCACACTTGCTTCCTTGTGTGGGCTTGCTTTGGAATCTGACCCTCCTGCCGAAATCATAGGCACACGATCAGCTTGCTTTCGGATTGAGACCTGTCTTTGCACAGAAAGGATCAACATTGAACTGCAGTCTGTTTCTTGTGGACATCGTGATTGGCCTCAAATCCAGATGCGGTCCAGCAGGCTAGCATATCCTGTTGCACTTAGATTCAGATTTAAGTTTGTATCATCTCATAGGAACAGGTCGAACAGGCTAAGCGCCCACGTCTGTGAACACTGGAGAGCTGAACCATCATGGCGGAATAAAGGATTTCACTTGAATGAGAGCTTATTGAGAACTCCATGGCTAGAACAATAGGGTAAAATAGGGTAAAATCTCATTTGGACCCTGTGCTCTTGAAGGCACAAATTGCAACGTTGGCTCAATCAAATTACGATGGCACACATTGCCATCGATGTAACATCTCATTTGGCTCAACAGATGGCACAAATTGCATCGTTGCTTGCCCTTGACTTGCACCCCATATTCCGAGCAATGAGGCACACGCAGGACATCTGAGCCCAGGGCTTGGATGTTCACCGGTCGAATTGGTTACTGGCCGCCCACCCCTTGTTTTCCGGCCGGTAGCCGATCCATTTTCTTGATGCACAGTGACTGGTGCTACTAGTTGACTCGGGCACCCCCCAGATCTTTGTCCTGATGGACCCCAGAAGCCTGGACTACTCAAATGACTCCACAGCAATAGAGTCATGAGAGGTTATGACTAAAGAGGCCTTACTTATGAGAACTTACAGGGACCTCCAAATAGATAGAACAATAAAATCCCTTTCAGAAAGTATTGGAAGTCATTTCTATCTATTTGGAGACCTCCATATGTGTTCCAAGAAGGCCTTAGAATCAGCTTTTATATGGGGGGGTCTTTGCCCCCATCACGCGGGCCGCAAGACACCTTCCACGCGGTGCGGTTCGGGTGCGAGGAGCGCCGCGAAGGGCTTGCAAGGTTGGGACGGAGCGAACCGAGTACCTCCGGTGGTGGGGGTCAGGGTGGGATCCGAACCCCTTGGTTCGGGCTTGCAGTCCGGGGTGGCGATTCGGGGTAGCCGCCAGGAATAGGAGTTTTCTTACTTATAAGGAACCAATTTTTTTCGGAACGGAAGAAAGGGTAACTAGTAACAGGAAGCTCGTTCGGGGCTCCTGGCATCGCGGCTACCGAACGCAAAAAGGAATCGGAAGATCTCGCAAAACGATCTGCTGCCTGGTGGGAACGAGCGTCCCGACTGTACGAGCGGTGTACGACCGTGCCACTCTCTTTTTCAGTTTTTTTTGCGAAGGACTGCGCTGAGGTGTCTGGGCGATAGTTCTTGGAATTTAGATGCAGAATCAGCTCTGCAATGTCTGTGGCTCATGGCTGTTTCTTTTTCTCAACGTGAAGAGAATAGAATGTCAACCTACCAGGATTCTTTGGGCCAACGCTCGAAGCAAAGCAGCAAACCACGTAGCAAACCATCATCCACTCTTCCAGGCGGGGTGCAATGTCCTTTGTTGACATTTTATGATGGATGTTCTTCATCAGTATCCTAAAAAGTCTCAAAACACAACTCAATCCTCTCGGCCCACCAAGAAAGGACGTTCATTCAAGGGACATGCCGCATGCCCCTTCTTTTTCGGGTCACCTAGCCTTTTTGCTCCGACGATTCTTTTCATTTTGGACATCCCAACGACTCCCCACTCCGCGCCAGGCGACGAGGCGCGCGACGCGCCCGAAGCGCTGGCGCTGGGAAGGCAACTCCGCTCCCTGGCCCACCTTTTTTTTCTTTTTTTAAAGGGGCTATGTTTTGCCAGGGAGGAGTCTTGTAGGTCGGTTGGTTGGAGTCTTCTGCATTTCTTTGCGAAAAGACGAGGACGTCGACGGCATTCAATCTCATGTTCCAGCTCCAAAGTTGATAGCATGATAGCTGGGCTGGTTGGACCGCTCTTCACGCTACCTGGCTTGTCAGTTCTGAGTGTTTTCAATCACGATCTAACTCGGCGTCACCGACCTGTTGGCACATGTGGAAGATCCTCTTCCTAGTAGCAATGCCCTTGTTACGAACGTAGCTTCTTGCTACAAGTCAGTAATGCTCTTCCTACTCGTCCCTGTTGCGGTTTTCCGCTTAAAGATGTGGAGCCAGTTCCGGAGCGGAAGGAGATAGGTTCGATTCGTGCATCTGCCCTGGTTCGATTTGACCCGTGCATTTCAACTGACCTCCAGCGTGGTTTCCAGTGACCCCCTGTGTTTGGGTGCTTCAAGCTGCCCTGGTTGGGAGGGGCAGCTTAGCTCAGGCTCGGTGCTGATGGCGGGCCTTGGCGATCGCTGTGTGCGCGTTTCCTTGCAGCTGGGACCGTGGACGGACATAGATGCTTTGGTTGCGGCAGTCCAATGGAAACAGGGGAAGCAGTCGCCTTTGGAGCATGTTCTCGAATCCAGAGCAGAATCTGCAGTTGAACTGTTCATATTACATTGTTTTCCTGCTCCAAATCCATCTGGGGGTTCTCTCCATGTGCAGGTTCTACTCGTAGTTGCTTTCTGATCTAGCCGAATCTAGCCCCAAAGGTGTTGGTTTGTTTACCCACTGCACGCGTTCTTGTTGAGTTTGGCCCTCACCCCCAGTATTGATTTGGGGGCTACAGAACAAAAGAGACAAGCATTATGTCTACTTTCCAACACATCCTGTACCAGGCCCAGACACTCCATGGGACTGCCATATATGCCACCCCATTGACCCCCTTTCAACCACCCCAACTGATCGGCATATATACCATTCATGCAGTGTCTGGGAGGTGGTTCGACTCCTCCCAGGCGCCTGCGAGCAGCGTCATCGGCTCCACGCAGCTCCCGCGCGCGCCAAGCGGCGGGCGTGGTGGTTCCTGGGAGCGGTTTCGGTGGGCGAAGGTCGGGCTGTGGGAAGGGCGGTTTCTTTTGGGGGGATGAAGGCAGGTCGACCGATTTTTGGCGTAGGGCTTTTGTTGGAGGGTTTGGACACCCACTAGCGATGGCTGCCTCCAAGCTACTGGCAATGGCCTCCAAAGGGACTTTTTTGGGGGGGGTTACCGGGAGGGGGTGTAGTTATAGTTCCTTTTTCGGTGTCACATGCGAAGACCGAACATCGCAGGGTACAAGAGCAAGTTGCTCTGTCTTGGTGTTTTTAGCAGTTACCCGTGATAGGTCTGAGGTCCTGCGACCAGCGTTTGACCAGAAACGCCAAGGACATTTTGGCAAGACCTATAGAAAACACCATGACTTAGGAACTACACGCACACTTAGATGTAGACAAGAGTTCATCCAGTGCCATAATCCACAGGGAAAGGAATGCTGCAACGGAAAGGTGTTTGGAAAAACATCTCAGTTACTGAATACTTAGTGGTCCCGAATTATGGCCGTGCATAATGGGGTAAGTTCCATCTAGAAGCGAGACCAAAGGAATCACTTCAATAGGGTCAAAATAGCTAGCAGCTAGAAAAGGAAATGAAGTTTCCAGCTTGTAGCTAGGGGGCGAGACTTGCGAATCGCTCATTAGATTAGAAAAGGGTCAACAGAAGCAAAGGAACCGACGCACAAGTCCGCCGAGAACCATTTCCTTCTGTTTCCCTGGATAGCAGTACAGGTACGTATTTCCATATCCTCGGATACATCGCCAGCTTCGTTGACCAGGCGACGATGTATCCTGCCTGGTTCCCTGCGTTCAATTAAAAGAGGCCCAAAGGAGTTTAAAACCCTTGGGTACAGGGTGTGACACACACACAAACACACTTTTATCTCTCTCAAATTGTGCCTACAAAGCCTTTGCCAAGGTCGTGGTCTAAGTGAGTTTCACTTAATTGGGGGACCCACACTATTTGAGCCGCATAGCGGCGCTCACTCCGGCAAAGACCTGAATAGCCACCTAACAAGCCTTAGAAAAAAGAAAAAGGAAAAAGACAAAGAGAAGAGCGAAGCGAAGAGGGCAAGAGAGAAAGATAGGTGTGGGGTCATGCATGTCTGCCGAACGAACGGCAAATTACTGAGTTAAAACCTGAATAGCCACCTAACAAGCCTTAGAAAGGAAAGAAAGACAGAAAGAGCAAGAAGAGGGGAAGAAAGAAAGATAGGTGTAAGGCCATGCATGTCTGCCGAACGAATGGCAAATTACGGAGTCAAAGCCTGAATAGGCACCTAACAAGCCTTAGAAAGGAAAGAAAGACAGAAAGAGCAAAGCGAAAAGGGCAAGAGAGAAAGATAGGTCTAAGTGAGTTTCACTTATTTGGGGACCCACACGATTGGTCGTGTTGCTGTTAATTGCGGGGTTTCGCCACCGCCCGGCTTTTTCAACATGGACTACTCCTCGTCGCGTTCGACGCCCCAAGAGCACTGTGGTCGATGTTGAACAACTCATGTCAGAGGTGGGGGTCCCGCTGTTTGGGACACCATTTGGGCACCGCTTTTGGGGGCAAAACTTGCACTCATAAAGACTCTTCTGCGATTCTTTTGGTGAGTAGAACGGGTATTTCAAGCTAAAATGAGTAGAATGCCATGGGCGGGAGGGTTCCATGGTCTTTCCTGCGAAAAGGCCATGATGACTCCAAGGTGGCCAATATGGATGAGTGTGAGGTAGATGGCAAGCCCAACATTGAATAGTGCGAAATCTGCCGCTGTTCGAGTTTCGTGAACGTTTGCAGCTTCTACAGAACTTCTGGACAGTGTCCTGATCGTTTTATTTTCTCATGCTTTTTGTTTGATTATCATGGGTGCCACCGTTGCCTCCTCCTCTGATGCACCTCCGCAGTCTGTGCAACGTGGTTTGAGTGCTGATGCACTGGCCTTCGTTCCTGGATTGCCGTATGCGACGCCTGAAATGATTCGCTCTGACAGTGACAGTTTGTCACACAAGAGGAGTCATTATTTGGCACTGCATCAAGTTCAGGACCTCCTGAATCAGGCGTCTTCACCCAGGCAGGTGAGTTCTTCCTCAGGCAGGACGATGCTGGGAAGAAGCGCTTGTTGAAGGCTGCTGGAACTAAGATGTTCACGAAAATGGTTCGAACTCGGTTCGGCCGTGAGAGTGAAGACACCTATTTTCCAGACATTCAGTTGTCAGAGAAAGTCCCCATGCGTGCAAGAAGCGCTGCTGGCCGGGAGGCTTCGAGGTTCCACAGGAGAAGGTTTCTATTTTCCTCACGTTCATGTATCTCCGCCGATGGGCGCTCGGTGTTGTCCAGTTTTTTGGTGATGAATCTCGCCTTGACGAGCTTTCAGGTGCAGTTGCTGAAGTCGTCTTGCCTTTGATTTCCGCTGCAACGAATGGAAGCTTGCCCCAAATCATCGAAAGTTGACACACTGATGAAGGCATGACACAGCCAAAAGGACTGCAGAAGTCATCTGGATTCCACATTCTCCAAGTCGCTATTCAGACCTTTCTCTCTCTCTCTCTCGTCATGGTTGAAGATGAGACTGAGACTGGTTTTACGCTACTGCAACCATGTGGTGCCTGTTGCATGGGGCGCTACTTTGTGGATGGCAAAATGTCTAGCGAAGATCCAGTGGCTTTAATTCGCTCAGCCTTTCTCAAGCAACAGACTGAGCGGAGGGCAAGTGACTACCAGTTTGCCAAACATGAACGCCAGCGAAGATTGAAGACTCTTCTTTACAAGGGTGTTGGCAAACAATGGTGGCCTTACCTCTCCATTGCAGCTCCAGGCTTGTCTGTCTTCACGCCCTACAGTCGACTCCCAAGTGACCAACAATTCTACCACAACAGCGTAGAGTCACTTTGGGTTGCGGAGTTTGGATCCCTTCCAGAGCCACGGGAAAAGGTGCGTACGTATCACAAAAGGGAGCCGACCGGGAGATTCTTGGGCCGATTGCACCTTCAACATCCTGTTTCAAGCGGTTCTGCCGAAGCTGTTTCGGCAGATGGCAGAGATTCAATTGCCAATTGGCCAGCGCCAGATGAGGATGCTGAGATGCCATTCCAGGTCACTTGGGCTGACGATCTTGCAATTTGCTCACGTTCAAAACACCTCATGAGATCATTTCCAAGCTGCCGTTTGCAGCTGCGGCACTTTTTGACACTCTTGCTGAATATGGCATGAAAGCGGCGATAGGGCCGTCTAAGACGGCCGCTATCATGCTTGCCAGAGGTGCCGGAGCTGTTCAGGTACGCCGGTGTTTGTTCAAGCATAAAGCAGCCGGATGCCATGCTTTGACCGAAGAGGAAAACATCCTTCTCCCCTTCGTGGATAAGTATAAGCACTTAGGGGGAATTGTCTCAGCGATGGCCAATTTGCAGCGTGAAATGCAGGCTCGACGCCTAAGAAGCCGATCTGCCTTTTGGCGTATAGGAACTAAAGTCCTTCGTAATGCCAAGCTTCCATTAAGTCGCGGAAAGCCATTTTCGAAGCCACTGTCGTTTCTGTCCATGCGTGGGGGGCAGGGGCTTGGCCGCTTCTGACTGGTCGTGAATGGAACCTCTGGGCAAGTGCCTTGCGGGAACTATACCTTAAAATGGCCCCGTGGTTATCCAAGGAGAAGGGAACTCACATCTCTCGCAGTGATTTGCTGTCAGCAGGGAAGTTCATGAGACCAGAAGATATGCTTCACCTTGCGCGGGTCAGGCATATCGGATCTATGTTTCTTGCTGCTCCGCCATTGTTACATGCCATGGTCAAACGAGATAATTTAGCCGTCCGAGGATATCATGCCTCATTGCATTGGTTCTGGGGGAGTCTTGGTAGGGATGTTGGCCTGCCACGACCACATGATTGGGTTGCATGGAGGGATTTTCTCGTGAGGCATCCAACGACATGGAAATCTACTGTCAAGCGAGCGGGTCTGAGGTATGCCAGAGGATACCAGAGGCTAGCAGAAGTCGATATATGGCATCGGCGCATTTACCAAACTTTGAAAGATATTGGTAGCATTCTAGCCGATACAAGAGCTGCTGAGACGGTCCATGCTTGTCTAGTTTGTGAAAAGGGTTTTGTCAACATGAGGGCTTGGTTCTGCCACGCCTCCCAGAGGCATGGATATCAGGGGAGAATCTGTCCCTGCTGTAATAAAAATACAAAAGCTCTTTAGCTTGAAACACCATCTGGCCTACAGCAGCCTCTGCAGAACGCACATGTGGATACACAAGAAGACCAACCACATTCTCAGATGCCTTGGACCTATGTCGATGAGCACCATGTCTCGGTTGAACAAGAATTTGATAGGGACATCATTGACCTTTGCCGGAACCTGGACTACCTACTTACTCATGATCTTGAGGCAGTTGGAAACCCGGGGTTTGAGCAAAACGTGGCAGAAAAACTCCAGTCTGCGTGCACGGTCGTGATGCCTTTTTCGTCCATTCATAAGGCCTTCGCCAGTTGGGCAAAATCCTTTGTTGATTCTAATGATCTATGCTTGCTCAGGGTGCTTGAACAAGTCGCAACATGGTTGCTTGACAAAGGCAATCAGCTAGTTCTCTCTCCCAGCAGTAAAGAAGCGATCCCTGATGAACAGGATCGCCTAGGGATTGAAGTAGGTAAACCTAGCGTTCAGATTCCCAGGCTCCGACCACAGACGGCTCTTTTTCTTCATTTCTTTAGTGGCCACCGCAGGATGCACGACCTGCAATGGTGGCTTGAAAAAGTCCATGAAGAGATTGGGGTCACTATTGAAGTCGCTTCAATTGATATTGTCATTTCGGAATCAATTTGTGATTTGACTTCCAAAGGACAAACAACACTGAAGATGGTGGGCCAACCTTGGGGCTTATGGGACCTTCGGGCAGATGAAAGCGCCCAAGTCGAGACTGGATTGTTGCTGCTCGGTTTTGCCCTTGAAGCGATGCTATCGCAACCTTGCACTCATGGCTTCGGAGCACTTGAGCGTCCACGCCGGCCTCAAGATTTTATGGACGGAAAAGAGCAAGCTCCATCAATATGGAACCTTGCAGTCATGCGCTGGCTGATCTCGACACAGATGTTTACACTTCTTCATGTTGAGCAAGGACATCATGGAGCATCCAGCAGAAAGCCAACTACCCTGCTGCTGTGCGGGACCTCATTTGAGACGGCTCCTGAGCTAGAGCGTAGTGTGAGGTCTACAGCGACACCTAGCAGGGCGAACATAGGTAGAGATGGCTCGAAGTGGGAGAACAAGCCATTTGAAAGCTTATCCCTCCGGTTTTTGCAATTTTCTTGCTCTGCTGTACAGAGAATGGTGGTGTGCCAGAGCAAACGCTCCTCAGATTGAAGTCGATGAGGCCCGGGGTTGGTTGAAAGAACTTAACAACCATCTACCGAGGGGTCAAATGACCTTTGGACCCGACTATCATAGAGGAGCCCACCACTAATTCAGAATTTAATACGAGGCGTCGCACTCTAGTCCAGAGACCCTGACGCGAATCGGAAATCGGAAATCCCGGAAATCGGTGCCTTTTTTCATGATCAGAGGCATGACTGGACCAGCAAGCTAAGGTCATGCTGGGCTTGGTGCTCTCGACGGAACATTTGGAGCGTGTGATTGACCGTGGCCCCAGTGCTCAAGAGGAGATGCTTGAGCGTGTCTCCTTGGTCGAGAGGTCGAGAGACGGTCAAGTGTGGGTCAAAAGCAGTACCCTACCACAATGGAAGGTTGAGAACAGGAATCGGTTCCTTTTCATAGGTTTACCAAGGGTTACGGGGTTTTGACCCAGAGCTACATCGACATGTCTATGTTCTTTTTGTGGAAACTTAGTTCAGGGCCTGGAATGACACTTGGGACGATCTTTGACAAATTCACTAATATTGCAAATATATCAACAACCTTACCAACAACCTTACAGGCACCAAACACAACCATATAGCTATCTGCAGCACTGCAGCTGACTTTGCCTTGTTTGAGGATATCCGTTGCTTCTCCTGCTTGATTGATTGATTAGCTGTTTGGGTTCGATGCACTGGTGTTTGCTTGACGATGTATTGAAACCCCCAGTTTGGTGTAATTGCGCACAGAACATGTCAGAAACCAACCTGACATCCAAGACCTACACACACCCCGCAGCCAATCTCTGTCACTCGACCTTAATCAGGAGGAGGCCTCCGAGCGCTTCCGCCAGCTCTGGGGCGACCGCTCGGAGCTCCGGCGGTTTAAGGTGCGGGACGGTTCGCTTCACTCCGTGCAGCGCGGGGTGAAAGCTGTGAACGGAGGAATTCGGTGGGTTGGTGGTGGGCGGTTGAGTTTGGTTTTGGTTGGTTGGTGCGTTTTATTTTTTGTGGAGGACGGGGGATCGAGTGCGGTTTTTCTTAGAAGAGTGTCAGATGAGGTTTTCAACGGTTGGAAAAACAGAGGACTTCTAGGTTTTCCAGGTTGGAAACAGAGAGTACCGGATGACCCTACAACGGGAGCTGGCTGCTGGCCGCAGGCCCACCAAGGTCAACCGGATGGGCAAACTCGACTCATCGAGCCGGATGGGGCGCTTCCTGAAAATGTTGGACGCGGCATGAACATGTTGGATCTATTCATAATCTGTCCCTATTCGTTTCTCCCAATTCTCCATCATATTCTCCTTCTCTCTTCGCGCCCAAATGCTCCAAAGTGAGTGATGCTCTTGCAGGATGGCAGCATCTTGGAGTGCGTGGTGTGGAAGAAACCGCCCCCTGGGTGCGCGGTGGAGTCGCGCAAGCAGCCGGCAGTGGCCGGGGCGCCCGAGAGGAGAAGTTCGTTGCGGCGTATTTGGCTGGTTCGATCTTAGAAAGATCTGCTTCAGCATCTTCTGCTTTCAAGACTTGATAGGAGAACCAGGTTTTGGTTGTTTTGGTCTCTTGGTCAAGTGACCCAGTTGCATGCCAGTGTTTTCAATGTGCTGGGCGGTGCCCGTTTGGCGCTTTTTGGGACATTTTTCCTTTCTCAAAATCTCATAGTTCGTTCGTTTTTCCCGGCAGGCAAGCGGAAACTCAAGCATCAGGTTGTTGACAAGTCTTCCAACTTTTAAGGACTTTGATGCGTGGCATTCGGTGTGTCTTGTGGTGCGATCCAGACTGGTGCAGACTGGAAGGAAGACCTGGCTTACACTGGCAGTGGTTTCATGGCGCAAATCTTTAGGCCACAGTGTGTTATGGGTGTATCAACCACCGTCTTTGGGATGAATGTGCCATATCTAGTCTTTTCCATTACACTAAAGTTCACTAAAGCAATCATTAGTATTCATGACATGTCTCATTTGATCTCATTTGCTTCAGCCTCAATCTCAACTGGGTCTTTGGTTAGTTTTGACCCATCCCTGCACGAAGACGTGTTCTTAGGTCACGCAGATCGTGCAGCACCTACTGTCTCGCCATGCGAGCCATATTCAGACAGAGGCTGAGGGACGCGGAGTTGGGGTGTATGAAGGGACGATGATCCTCCGCAGCCAGGTTTCGGACCACACATCCTTTTGAATGGCGTTTTGGGCTGGGTGAAACAGCATATTTTGGGGAGAGCACGGAGCATTGACTACCCAGTCCAAGTGATATCTGTGTAGTGAAGCATTGACTCGCAGTTGGTCGGTGGTCTTTCGAAGAAAACGGCGAAGTCTGGAGGAAGAGGAACCCAACGACGGCACCGGGGCGACGGATTTTCACCGGAGCTTTGCCAAACCTGCCCATTCCGGAACCGGAACCGGAAGTGAATGTGTTTGCCACATCCAGTTTCACCGCTTAGACACATCCGAAGTGTCCAATGAACCAAGGCTCGCCACCCCAAGATCGCTTCGAAGACCGCTCCGTCCGCTCTCCTCCTCGGTCATGGGCCTCGAGGTGGTTTCCGGGCCGGTGGGCTTCGTGGAGAATCTGGGAGAGCAGGAGCCCACGGTTTGAGACCGGGAGAGACCGCGTGGGGCCGGGGGAGAGCGTAGGTACGCGAAGTAGCCCGGGCTTCCTTTGTTCATCTTTTGTTCCTAAGCAGCTTCTTGTTACTAGCGATGGCCTCCTACTTGCGATGGCCTCCACCGAGCATAGCGTCCTTTTGAGCTTTTTGGGGTCGTGAAATTCCACGTCTGACGGGAGAAGATCCGGTTTTTTGGTTTCGAAGGCTTTCCCGCCGTGCGGCGGGTCTGTCGAGAGCTTAAGAAGGGAAGAAACAACTGTTGTGTTGAATCACACAGTCGCATCATAGCTGGTGTGAGTCTGTGATACCCCCAACTGAGTCACTGACACTCAGCTCTCCTTTGGTGTCACAATGTGTCACATGTGTCGCGTGGATTGTCGAGCCTCGCCCACGGCTTCAGGAGCGTCGGCTCTGGGTCGCCTTCGACACGTTTCGAACGCATCTGTGTCAGCTGAGCTCCTTGCCCCTGACCATCAAGGACGGACGGTGATCTGCTGCTGGTATCAGACTCCCTAGGTTTTTCAGAGAACAGACAGGTTTGTACTTACCTTGTGGCCACCGTATGTGTGATTGACAGGTGCAAAGTTGCAGAGAACAAGGTGGGGAGCCCTCCTTCGACCTCTTTGATATTGGAGTTTTAAGAGCTTTCTTTGGGAAAATGGGGTTGTCTTGAGACTATATATACTGTATATATAATATATAACTTGAACGTGTGACGTGTGGATTGTTGAGGTTGAGATGAAGTGAATTGATCTACACGGTCCATTCCTATGCCAATCTTTGCGCCATAGGACGTTCATCCAGCGGAGTCTGCCTTCAGCTTCTTGGTGAGATGCTTCAAGAGATGCAGGAAGATAGTTTCATCCACAACTTGGAACATTTGGGACTTGCTCCAGTGCTGCTGTAGCTGCCTGACAAAGCGCAAAGACTCAAGAGGTAGGTAGGACCAGGTAGGATAGATGGTCAACATGCTTGTTCTCATGGTCGACATTGGACATCACCCTCGACACCGTAAAATGACATCACCCTCTTGTGTTACTTTTTTTTTTTTTTTTATTTCTATTATGTTTGGCAAACCATTGAACCTCTTCGAAGCTGAGAGTCGTTTTTTTTTCTACTTTTCTGCCCAGGCTACATGGGCACCGAAGTGTCTTATGCTCCCAGACACACGGGCGATGTGCCTTGGACGAAATCGATGTGCTGCGGGCGATGTGCTGCGGATGCTGCGCTCGGAACTCAAGACCCAGACCAGATGTGCTGTCATAGTTGACAGAGACCACGGGGGTCTCTGGTCGGAGACCAAGATCTACCGCTGTATTCAAACATTGTTTTCTGATGTATTCATGAGCCAAACCCACATGAACATCAATGACATTCAATGACTTTGCTCCTATTAGCTCATTGCCTAAGCCCCTGACTAATGTGGAGGTTTCCCCGCGCTGTGCAGCTCCGTCCGCGAGTTCACAAGAGATTACCAAGTTGACCATCGGTTGTACTAAAGCGAGTCAAAGAAGCTGACCGATTGATTGGGCGTGCGTGTCCAATCATTGCCTTTGGACCTCTGAGCAAAAGACCAAAGATCGTTGAATTGGTGAAACAAGGCTTTTCCAGTTACACTGCTGCAAGGGCAGGCAAGGGCATGCTTTGATGGGGGTATGTGGTTGTGGGTCTTTCAACCAGGGGACCCTGGTGGACCACCGAAAATGAACAGAATAGACTACCAGACATGATCAACTTATATGCCAAGGCTTAGGGCTCCAGGTTTGGACTCACAGCCATGTCGGGTAAGTCGAGAGCACGATCATCACACCAGAAAAGGGCCGATTTGAGAACGGCTGCTCATCTCCCGCCCTTTCTTGGTTTTGATCGATGAACGTCTTGATGCTCAACTGATGAGAACAATTTGAATTTTGGAATCTCTTACAACAGTTCTGAGCATGTTCCGAGTAGTTCTTCAAATCTTTTCTTTTCCACTTCTTCCCACCCCTTGTCCGATTTCGAGCCACGAGACCGTTCCCCGTTCCCTCGCAGATGTTCATCGTCTCTCTCCGCCAGAGGCGCTGCCACGTCCTCTCTACGAGACCGTCCTGGAGTTTGAGTCCAGTGGACGTTGGCCCGACGACACGGCCGGGACAGCGGCCTTGGCCGATCCAATGGGCTGGATGAAGAGTGTGTGTGGGTGGGTGTGTGGTTGTGTGTGTTCTAAACAATTGTTTGTTTGTTTGTTTGTTTCTTAGTATGGCCAGATCAAGGGGCCCCTGAAGCCGACGTGACGGTGTGTTGAAGATCCTTTTTCTGGGACTTTTGCTCAGGGAAGCAGGTGCTTGAGATGTCTTTCAGTTCTAGAGATAGACTCGGCCACACTCATTCATTTAGGAGTGTATGAAGATCGGAAGAAGTCCCAGAAACCCATATGTGTAGCGTGTCTGGCTCATCCCCTGCGAAGTATCCAAAAAGAACAGCATGAGTCGCGTTTACATGTGGTTACCCTTTATTCGCATTCTGAGATGCGCACAGTGCCTTGGGCTCACTTCGCTGCTGCGGGACCCTCCGGCCGGCAGGCGGCGGCGCAAAAGGTGGCCGCAGCGCTTTTGTTGCAGCACCTTGGGAGAAAAGGGGAACACCCAGGAACGAGATGGTGCGACGGACGCACAGAGCGTGGGCTCTGAGATGGGCGGTCAGACCCCAAGAGTCGATTCCTTTGTGGTTCCAGCCACCCTCATTCCTATGCATTCCTTACTTTCATCACACCAGTCAGGATCTCGTGGATGCTGCTTGGCGCTTCTCGAACCAAAGCACCAAGCATGGAGGGTGCACTCTTTGTATCTAGTGTCATCCGACAGGGGGACCCTTTTTCTTTTTTTCCGAAAGGGGAAGGGAGCGAAGTTGGTCACGATGAGCGATTCTGAAGTGAAGGAGCTGAAGCATGCTGAAGGCCTTCCAAGTTGAAGCCCTCCTTGAAGATTTGAGCGATGATATATTTTGTGTTGACGGGTTGATTGATGAAAAAACACCGACATGGAGATGTACAAATGATTCTGCTATGGGGGATTAATCAATCAACAGTCTACCTTCTTCACCAAACCTAGAATCCTGCAGACACTTTACTTTGACGGGAGTATTCAGAGTATTCCAGCAGCTGAACAGTTTATTTTTTTGACAAGATTGAACTACTTTTTTCTTCAAAACATGGAGTGGTTCTGGACATCACGGTGACATTCTGCGGCTGCATCGCTTCTGCGCATCCAGCGCATCATTACGGCCTCGAGGATTCGAGAAGAGATGTCATCGGACTTGGGCATTGAAGCGTCAGCGACGGAAGGCTTTCTGGACTTGTGCCTGGCCGGAAGGCTTGACTTCGCGGGAATAAATGCGGGATCTTGGGGAAGGGTGGGGTGAACATGGAGGAAGGTAGGATGGGATGGTGGGTGTATTTCATTAGGGAGACAAGCAAGACCAACCTGGCACCATGGGTAGACTGGTCTATAGTTAAGTCGAGTTCCTTTCTTCTTCTAGGACTGAGAGGTCTCCCAATGTTGCTACACACCCATGTATATAGATCTATAGAGTTCCCTCTGATTCGCCTCCGTGCTGAGGCGCTACCCGGAGGCGACCTTCCGGCTGCGGATCTTCCATCCCAACGAGATGGCCGAAGCTGCCCAGAAGGTCACCGACCCTCAGGCCGAGTCGGAGGCGTTGCGGTTGCAACTTGGACCAGAGGCGTTTCGTGGTGGTTGACTACCCAGGTGGACATTTCATGAGGCATTTCATGAGGCTGTCCAGGAAGTTCAGGGACACATTTCTAAACGCCTGCCACGTGGCATACCTGGACCAGGCCTCTTCCCACGAGAAGGATTTCCCGGAGGAGGCCATGCTCGAGCGGCTCAGGCGCCCGGGTTGAACATCGGGGACGGCACAGCAACCCACAGCAAGAGTTTGAGCACATCCTCTTCGGTATATAGCTACAGCAAACATATATATATATATAGCTTAGTAAGTACAACAACTGTAAAGGCTTTGGGTTTCTTCTTGGTCGTTTTTTTCAGACTGGTCTTCGTAAGACTTGGGGTCCACAGAGGAAAAAAACAGCCTAGGAACATCTGTTGGAGCTTTGTGACTGGACTTTTGGACACTCAATGCAGTGTCCAGTTTCAACATTGTCGGTTTCAAAGAAGAAGTGGATGATAGTCTCCTGGCACCAATTTGTTCAATTGAAGTCACTTAACGTTAAGTATAAGATAGAAGGATTTACAGTGACTTCACCTGTCTATGCTTCACGACTTCGCCCGGCACCTGGTGGCTGGCCTCAGGTTGCTCTGGTGGCGGCCACGGGTGTACGGAGCTCTGCATGCGTTGGTGCCGATTGGCCGAAGGGAGGGACGTGGTAGATCCTTTTGATGGTGAATTTAGATGTGTTTTAATGCCTTAGTATTTACGGATGTATTTAGATGTATTTAGGTGTCATATTGCCAATGGTATTGGCCACATGTTTCTTTGCCTTCGGTCACTTCGAAGTATCCTTGACATGATTTTGCTCTGTGCAGGGAGTTCGTTCGGTGGACCGAACTGAAGGGCTCCAGGGATCGAGGATCAAAGCGTCCGTCAGTTGAAGGGACAGGCACCTGTTGGGCACCACGGCCAGTAAGGACGCTATGCTCGGTGGAGGCCATCGCAAGTAGGTTGGAGGCCATTGCTAGTAACAAGAAGCTACGTTCGGGGCTCCTGGCCTTGCTTCTAGGAGCAATGGGACGCTACGAACGGGGCTGGCATCGCTACGAACGGAGCATTCTCACTACGAACGTAACAAGAAGCTACCAACGTAGCTACTTGCTTGGTGTTTCGTTCATCTCCTCATCCACGGCCGTTACTGAGGCGAGGTCCCTCGGTTGAGGTCTGGGCGGTACTCGCAGTAGGTATGAGCACCGATGTTAGAAGGCATTGAGCCGAAAAGAGGAGCACTATTCCTCATGTACTGCAGAGAAACTGTTTCAGAAGCCCGACTAAGTCGGGTTCTCTCAGACCCTGCCTGGTCAACAGATGATGTTTGAACTCGTTTCATTGGCGAACAAGGCTCATGGAGATAGGGGACTCTATCTCAAAAACCTCGGATCGTGTTCCAAAAACTCAGGATCCTGAACCAATGGCAGGGTTCACTCGTCTGTTTTCATTCCCCCAGGGGGTCGTTGCATGGGAGGTTTCCCTATTTTCATACACATCCGGAGATGTACCTTCACCACGTTGGTGACCAACCTTCACCGTCGGCGCGACACGTTCTCCAAGGCTTCAACATCCTTCGTTGGCGGGTGCCACGCGACTCTTTAAGCGATGGATGTCCTCACAGACGCTGGGGCGTGGGATGGGTGAGGGTGAAGCTTCTGAATGTCTCGTGAAGATGTAGCGATGGCTGTGGGAAGTGATATGAAGTCTGATTTTCAGTCAGAACGATTCCTAAGGATGTAAGGATCATCCGCTGTACCGGGCACGGTCCGAGTCGCTCGAGGTCAGACCGTGTTCTCCCACCCCGTCTCCCTCCCGGGACCTCGGCGGAGGGGTCAGAAACGCTGCGCTGAGTCGAGGGACTTCCCTTGGTTGGGTGATTCTGCAGAAAACACATGGAATCTTTCTGGAAGTGGGAATTACAAAGGATGGGTCTTGGTTGGGTGCCCCCATGATCCGCAATGAATTCTTGATCCTGGCAGCTTCACAGCATATTCTTGTGCTGCTGGCGGCTGCTGGCTGCGGCCGCTGCGGCTGCTGCGGCTGCTGCGGCTGCTGCGGCTGCTGCTGCTGACCTGCTAGCAATCTGCACGGCACAGCTACTGTTGATGGAAGAAAGCACACCACCTGAGGAAAGGCCCCCACGTGTTCTGTTCAAATAGTGCAGAATTCCTTCAAGCCAGGTGAACCCGGTCCTACACCAAAGCGGGCACAGGCAAACTTGACACGTCCTTTTTGGTGGTTCAATTTGAGTATCAATGGTACTTAATTGTGTAGTCAAAAGAGTTCACTAGAACCAACAGGATCATGCTTTGGGTTTCTTCTCCGTTTCGTCCTTTCTTCGAACCACGGCAAACCGAACCACGGCGGCCCCGTGCGGCCCCGTGTGAGCTGATGCTCTTCGAGCTGAGGATGCTCTCCGGATATGACACGCCGCTGTGAAGAAGTGGTGTTGGTCGTGCGGGACCTGCAAGAATCCAAACTAAAACTACTCCAAGTCATTAAATTAGAATTAAATTAAACACATATTTTCTTGTTACTAGTAGTAAGGCACTTGTTACTAGAAGCGATGCACTTGTTCCTAGTAGCTTCTTGTTACTACTAGTAAGTCATGGAGGGAAGCGATGCTCCATGATTCGCAGAAATACGAGGCCAACCATGTTTTAGGGCCTTTGTAGTGGTTTAGGTGCAGGACAAGCCAACATGTCTTTGTTCCGTGTTTCATACGTAGGGTATATCAACATGTTTTGTTGGTGGTTTGTGGCACTTCGCCCAAGTACAGTGGTTTCAGAGCGCCACTTGTGGCCTCTTCTGGGTTTCCTTGTCCTCTTCCGGCTCGTTGAGACATCCACTGTGGCCGCGCCGGAGAGAGGTCAAATTTGATCTGGATCTTCTGGAAGTTTTGAATTTTGCAATTCTGGGCTGACCTTAGTACTGTAATACCAATTTAACATTACAGGTGTAAGACTGCGAACCTGGACCATTCTGCACCTGCCATCCTCAAGCTTTTGCACGGAGAAAGACACACACGGCATTTGCAGTGGTTTGGTGGTTTTTGAGGCGGTTTTCAGGATTTCCTTCAGCAGTAAGACTTGGCGATTTTGATGAACTTCTGGATGGACATGTGGATGGAGGGGTCGCCAGAACAGGCCCTGAGTCAGCGAAAGAAGTAGCACTTGCTCTCCCTCTCTTATGTGTAGAAGCCGAGCATCAAACCAAAATCAACTTGCATACATCCTATCACTAACATAGAACGCAACCTGCTTGATCTCAGCAATGTTTGCACTAGTGCAATAAATGTGTTTTCTAGGAGAAACACACTAACATAGAAGCGCTGAGTTTGGGCAGAAACATTGAGACAAGCCTGTTTGTGCAATGTTGTGCACCGCCATATTAGTGGAATATATACATATTCTTACTTGTGCATGGAATGCTAGTGCGCTGACACTTCACTAACATGGAAGCCATGTGTGTGTATTATTGTAATCTGTTGCTGTTGAGCTTCCATGTTTGTGCTGCAAGAGTGTGTGGGGGAGGTATTTCAGGTGGGTTCTAATGTTAGTCTCGGTTGTTGACTTTTTTCCCAGTTTCCCTAACATGGAAAGTGGCTATGTGTGTGTCTGCAGTTCCATGTATAAAGGCCTTTTCGGGTTCTCCACTTCCAGGTGGAGAGTGTACCAACTGAGGAAGATCATCCTTTCCAGGGTTTGCCGTAAGGTTTGTTGGAAGAGAGGGTAAAAGCGGACCCGTTGCTATTCCAAACCCAACTATCTTTAGGTGAATGATTATTATAAATCAAAGGAGATGCGAGAGGCGTCTTTCTGGCATGACTTGTCGAGCAATCTTTGACCCACTTTGCCTCACTTCTTCCCCGAGCAAGGTTCGCAGAGCACCTGGTGGCCTATGTCTTCTTGCATCCGGCGCCCTATGACGTGCCGAGCAGAACCTCAGCTCCGAAAGCGGGGGTGGGAGTGGCGGGAGCGGTGGAAGCAACTTGGTTTGCGATCTCCATTCCTCTTAGGTTGGAGGCCATCGCTCTTCGGTTGAAGGCCATCGCTCTTAGGAAGAGGTGTGCGTGTGATTTGCATGCGAGTTCTACTGTTGTCAGAGAATGGCCCGTGATTTCTACTGTTGTGGACGATTTGTACTGTTGTGATTCCTGTGATTTCTGTTGTGGAAGAGGTGTGCGTTGTTTCCGGCATTACACATGAGCTGCGTGGTTTCCGCATGGGTCACTTCCGTCACCGGTGGGTGCGCGCGGTCCCCTCCTCCCCGCTGGTCACTGCCGCCGTTTGAGCCTCCGAGCGACCTCGGTCAGCTGCGGGCAGCACCGAGCCGCTCCGCGATGGGGTGCGAGGTGAAGATGGCGCAGTCTGAGGAGGGAACGTGTTTCGGGTGGTGGGACGTATTCAGTATTTACAGCCTTTGGCATGCCGCCGGCCACAGCTCGAGCCTGCATTGGCAGGCAGCCTAATGATGCTTATTAACAGTGTTCCACAGTTCTATTTTCGTTCCAAGGCAGGGACAAGATCCCCTCTTCTAGGCTGAAGCAGCTATATAATCCGGCACGTCTCTTTGATTCAACTCGCTTTTTCCTGTTCTCGCCATGGCCTAGTCTGAAGCAACCGGGGCAGGGCAGGCTGTCGAAACATCCGCGCGGAGAAACAAACCGTAGATTGAAGCCAATGGAAACCAACACAAGCCAGACGAAGCAAGACAATCCACAAAACCGGTACTTGAAAATGAGTCTTCTTCCAAACTACTTGGCCTTTTGCATGTTTTCCTTATCAGATCTTTTTTTCGACCGTCTTGAGGAATTGCGAGTCGCACAAGATATTCTTTTTCACATACAGAAGGCTTCAAAGCGACCGAAGAATTTCTTGATCTGGCATGATTTGTCGTTTTTTCTCCAAAGCGATCGAAATGAAAGACCCAGAATGACATCGAACAACAATACCCTGCTCAATCAGACTTGTTGGTGCATTGGAGTTGCACATTTGGCTGGGTGAGTTTGTTGATGTTTATTTCAAGGTTGTTTGACCATGAAATGGAACGAATCCGAATCAGAGGTTGTCGATTCTGTTCCAGCGATCCGAACCGGCATGTCTCTGTCGAATCACCTAAGAGGAACCAATTGAAACCAACACAAGCAATGCGAACCAAGACTATCCACAAAACATGACCTTGAAAACGATTCTTCTTCCAAACTACTTGGCCGTTTGCATGTTTTCCTTTTCAGATCTTTTTTCCGACCGTCTCGAGGGATTGCGACACGCACCAGATATTCTTTTTCACACACAGGAGGCTTCAAAGCGACCGAAGAATTTCCAGATCTGGCATGATTTGTCGTTTTTTCTCTCCAAACCGTTTGAAATGAAAGACCCAGAATGACATCGAACAACAATACCCTGCTCAATCAGACTTGTGGGTGCATTGGAGTTGCACATTTTGTTGGGAGAGTTTGTTGATGTTGATTTCAAGCGAAGTCGTTTTACAATGAAATGGAACGAATCCGAATCAGAGGTTGTCTATTCTGATCCAGCGATCGACATGTCTCAGTCCAATCACCTTAGACGTAAAGGGTGGGGGGGGGAGGGGGGCGTCAGGCTGTCGAAAAATCAGCGCGGAGATACAAACCGTAGGTTGAAACCAACACAAGCAATATTAACCAAAACAATCCACAAAACACGCCGGCAGGCCGGCGGATTCGTGCCTGGATGTTTCCAGGAATTGCCGTGGAATGGAGGGTTGGATGGAGCGACAGCGTTGGAATTGACATGTTAATTTGTTAATTTTTTTGGGGGGTGTTTTGGATGAAGAACGATCCAAAGCAATCTTTCTGCACGCGGCGCTGTGATCGCATCACTTGCTGGTCTCGTAGCTCCATCATGCCAGTTGTTGTGTGCTTAACGCAATATCCCATAACTTTTTTACGCATCAACTGTTTAGAGTTTAGACCCAAGATTGATGTCGACCATATCACTAGGACTTCTTCATTCCACGTTTCAATGTTCGCGAAGTACGGGACTCGGAAACCGACAGGTGACGGACTTCACGTAGATGGACCGGCTAATCTTAGATGTCTTCAAGGCAGCGAAACAAGAGAAGAAAAGAGGTCTTCAAGGCATGGATCCCAACGTTCCGCACGGAACTCGCAGTCCTGTCACTCGCAACTGCACTGACCATTCTCAAAAGGCCCGGGTCTGGCACTTCGCTGCTCCTGTCCAGTGTCTCGGTATCCAGTGGATCCACCTGTTCCGAAACCCGGCGATGGACTCCGATGGCCAAAGAATAACACCAGAACATATCCACAGCCACCCTGCATGGTTCAGGCCCTTTGAGTTGGCTGTTTTGCTTCACAGGACTTCTGGGAGCTGCACAGACGCCTTGGGGAGTGCTACGATCGTGACACCACGAAGTGCATCTCCCCCGACCTCGCGAGCCTCGCGAGCCTCGCGCGCCTCGCGCCAGCCGCCGACCAAGCGGCACGAAAAGAGGTGATGCCACCAGTCGAGGCTCCCCCAGGCTTGAGTGCGCCTGGAGATCGAGCTTTGGAGCGTTTTCAGAGGCGTTTTCAGGTCAGGTGTGCAAAAAAGGTCCTAAAAACCTGTAAAGCTCGGGATTTCAAGGTCCTTTGAAACCCTTGGGGTTCAGTACTAGTAGCTGAGAGGGACACACAGACTATATAGATCTGTCTGAGGAGCCGCTTGGATTCCACTTGGTCACTTTGAGGTGTAGGTCCTGTAGCTTGGATTTGGGGCACCAGAAACTAACTGCAGGTTGCCCAGTTTCTTCGATCTCTCGTATAATCCGCGCGGACTCAGTGTTGTCTGAGGATTACTGACTGAGCCCAATCTGCTGGAGCCGAAGAGCATGCCGACCAGAAGCCAGTCGTGCAGGTCTCAAAGCTTGTGGGAATCTCCCGCCTTCCAAGCAGATCTTCAAAGATGTGCCGTGGATTTGCAGATCAAACGATCGGTTTTGACACCGTCCACCAAGTGGAAGCGGGCTTGCGGGCAGAAGCTTGATTCAGCAAACATGTTAGCATCGTGTCCGGAGGGTTCACAAGGATTCTTAGGGCTACTTCCACTCACTCAACTGGAAGTAGGCTTCACCCGTTCGTTTCAGCCGGGTCCTGCAGGGGCCATCCACTGATGTGGCCGTGGGTCAAAACCGCTCCAAATCCTGGTAGAGTGACCTGGCTCGTAATCTGTTCATTTTCGGTGGTCCACCAGGGTCCCCTGGTTGAAAGACCCAAAACCACATACCCCCATCAAAGCATACCCTTGCCTGTCCTTACAGCAGTGTAACTGGGCGAAAAAGCCTTCTTTCACCCATTCAACGATCTTTAGTCTTTTGCAGTAGGTTGGAGGCCATCCCTAGTAGGTTGGAGGCCATTGCTAGTAGGTTGGAGGCCATTGCTAGTAGGTTGGAGGCCGTTGCTATTAGGTTGGAGGCCATTGCGAGTAGGTTGGAGGCCATTGCTGGTAGGTTGGAGGCCATTGCTAGTAGGTTGGAGGCAATTGCTAGTAGGTTGGATGCCATTGCTAGTGGGTTCGAGGCCATTGCTAGTAGGTTGGAGGCCATTGCTAGTAGGTTGGAGGGCATTGCTGCTAGGTTGGAGGCCATTGCTAGTAGGTTGGAGGCCATTGCTAGTAGGTTGGTGGCCATTGCTAGTAGGTTGGAGGGCATTGCTGGTAGGTTGGAGGCCATTGCTAATAGGTTGGAGGCCATTGCTAGTAGGTTGGAGGCCATTGCTAGTAGGTTGGAGGGCATTGCTTGTAGGTTGGAGGCCA